TATATATATATATATATATATCATCCTGAGGGTTCTGCAGAGTATCTTAGCTCTTCCTAGGACTGCACACTTCTGGACTGAGGCTTCAGATGTTGTTCCTGGAATCTACCAGAGCCACTCTTTGGGGGTCACTGCCCCAAGTGCTCCTACTACCAAGGAGACCATGTCAACTTCGACCTTCCACATCTGTTCCAGCTGTTCTTTCAACCCTTGATACTTCTCTACCTTCTTGTGTTCCTTCTTTCTGATGTTGCTGTCGGCTAGTATCACCACATCTACCACCACTGCCCTCTGGTGTTTGTCAACCACCAGTATGTCCGGTTGGTTAGCCAGCAGCTGTTTGTCAGTCTGGAAGCTGAAGTCCCACAGGATCTTAGCCTTGTTGCTCTCAACCACCTTTGGTGATGTGTCCCATCAGGATTTGGGTACGTTGAGTCCATACTGGGTACAAATTTTCCTGTACACTATCCCAGCCACTTGGTTGTGCCTCTCCATTAGGGATGCACCAAAATGAAAATTTGTGGCCGAAGCCGAATATTATTAAACGCTTGGCCGAATACCGAGTACCAAATACCGAATATCATTGTTTAGTTTTTCATTAGTTTTTGCAGATGAACCCCCTCCAGATTAGTGTTGTCATGGTACCGAAATTGGGACCCACTGTATGACACCAATGAAAATATCATGGTTCTGAGTAGTATCACAATACCACAGCGAAAATGAGGCAGATGTGCCTTTTGTCATTTATAAAAAGATAAATCTCTTTTCTATAATACATCAATGATATTTCAATGGAATAAATTACTTATTGACTTTTTCATACTTCAAAAACAGCATCAATCAGTGATTAACATAGGAAGGAACAAAATAAAATAAATAAATAAAATAAAAATCAGCCAGCCACCCTCCTCCCCTGACAGGTCCCTTCATAAGTAACGAACAGTCCCTAAAGTGCGGTGAGGTTTGTGGGCCACTACTGCCAGAAAGAGTAATGTGAACGGCTCGTTTCTCCTCTGACACGTCACATACCTGTGTTCAGCTGGCTCGGCTGTTCAGGTACTTCTGGGCAGTCATGACGCCAAGAAGAGGATATTATTGGAACCGACTTCTCCGCCGCTGGTAAGCCGATGGCCGCCGTATCTGTGTCTGTGACCCCCGTTCAACCCACAACCGGTGGGATTCGCCTTTTGTTTCTGCTGGTGGTTGAAATCTGTAGGCTGCTCTCACAGCGTGCTGAATGATTTAAGCCTATTTTGCTCGCTCAAAACTATTTTTAGTCGCAAATGTGGTGATGGACGGATCGCCACACTGCCGACATTTTATTCCACCCGTCACGGCACGCCACTTGATTGCGTTATCAAAACAAGCCGCTATTATTCTGCCTTGCTTTTAACTTATTCCACTGAATACCGAATGTGTGTTTTTTTGCAGCATTCGGCCGAATATATTCGGTTACCAAATATTCGGTGCATCCCTACTCTCCATGTACGCTGATCCTGCTTGCATTTTACACCCTGCCACTATGTGCTGGACCGTCTCAAGGGAATCTTTGCACAGCCTTCACTTTGGGTCTGATCTGCTGCGGTAGACCCTGGTCTCTATGGCTCTTGTGCTTTGGGCCTGTTCTTGTGCTGCGACGATTAGTGCCTCTGTGCTGTCTGTCAGTCCAGCATTCTACAGCCACTGGAAGTTCTTCTTGATATCAGCCACTTCCTCGATCTGACGGTGGTATGCACCATGTAGTGGCTTGTCCCTCCATGTTGTTTGCTCCTCCACCTCTTTGTTCTCATCTGGTTTCTGTTGTCTGGGGCATTCACTTAGTAGCTCATCCTTTGGGTCCCTTTTCTTGATGTATTCCTGGAGTTTGGTTGTTTAATCCTAGATAGTGGCTCTGATGCTTACTAGTCCTCGGCCTCCCTCTTTCCCCTTAAGCCTCAGGGTGCTGGACTTGGGGTGGAACCCTCCATGCATGGTGAGGAGCTTTCTTGTCTTGATATCTGTGGCTTCTATCTCCTCCTTTGGCAAGCTTATGATCCCAGCTGGGTTTCTGATGACTGGCAGTGGGTACATGTTGATGGCTCGGACCTTGTTCTGACCATTCAGCTGACTTCTCAGGACTTGCCTCACTTTCTGGAAGTATTTGTGGTTGTGGTCGACTTCCTTGTGGCCTCCTCATGATTTCCCAAGGTACTTGTAGCTGTCATGATATCTCCTATGTTGCCCTCTGGTAGGTCAACTATATATGCAGCAAAGGGCTGTAGGTTGGAAAAGAACCTACTGCAGCTGCAGCAAGGACAAAGCCTTGTACATGGGGCACCTGCACTCTCAGGTGGGCTAGTGGGCAATATAATCTTACCTAGAAAATTCATGGTTTTGTTACTGAAGAGACCTGGTTTTATATGCATTAGAGCAAAATAATGTTCTGTTAATCTGAATGAAGCTCTTTTTTATAAAAACAGCATCTGGTTCCAAGCTTAGACAGACATCCCAGAGTTGTGGAACAGAAAACTCCTTTGTGGTTCAACAGAGCTATTGGGAGTAAATTTGGGCAAATTATTGTGTATACTCCTCTTATCTTTTATTCTGAAAAACCCAACATGACCAGGAAGTTAGATTTAGCTTTTTCCTGTGCTCACTGCAATTTGTTTCTAGGGGATGCATGAATGCTTACAAACACCAAAGTGAAGCATGAATGTTTAAGCTCCAGCTGAGCTGCTGCCCGCAGGCTGCTCACCAAACTCATTTCGCATATAAGAATTCATAGGTCTTTTTGCCAGGAGGCACAAGTCCATCAGAAAGAATATAAACACACACACCTGGCTATCGATGCTGTTTCTGTCTCTTTCCTGCTCCTCCTCAGTGAGGGAAACCAATGAGCCTCTCTCCTGGCTGTCCAGATGTAAACTCGTCCCAGTAGACCTCTCCTCATGATCACTGATGCTTGGACACTGAGTCTGGACTGATCCCTTCTCCACCTCTAGACCCTCCAGGCTGTAGCTGGGTGCAAGGAGACAACACAGACATATAACCAGTGGCGCCGTATAGAGACAGAGCGCAACGCGTCATAATCTGAAAGCCACGCCCCCAAAGGGGAAACGAAGCCCGCTTTCCCCTCCGCTTCGCTCGTTCGCTGTCATTCTGCCTCCGCAGCCGCGCCTTCAAGTCTCCACAACTGAATTGCTAGCTAGCTAGCTAAAATTATTAGCTAAAGATAGCTAATATTTAGCTAATAATAAGATGGCAAAGGATTATTTTAGCACGCTATGCCTACCAGAGAGGCAACGGTATATTGATAAGCTTAATATTGCTGGTCGACCACAGTGTCCATTCTCCTTACCTTGCTCGTCTTGGAAAAAACATGAGCAGAAATCAGTCAGTTAACTAAATCGACCGCTACTCCCCCATCTCCACATTCTCCCCTTACTGCAGTCCGAGCATGATGTGGAGATTCTTTTTTAAGAAGATGAGCATTTCCGCATGCTCAGCCGTCAGCCTGATAAAAGCTAAGCTCTGGGTTTTTATTGGCCGTGCAGCCCACCACACAGCAACTTCTCGGCATTTGGACTTAGGGAAAACTCAACAGGCTGGAAACGGAGGGGGTAAGTGTGAGGGGAAAACGGGCCTCATTTCCCCTTTGGGGGCGTGACTTTCAGATTATGACGCGTTGTGCTCTGTCTCTATAAGGGGAAAAGTTAGGACAATTCAACCATCATCATTAAGATTATTTTTTCAAATACAGTAATAAAGCTAAAGTAAAAGTTATATATCCCCATTGACCAAAAAGTAAACATCCATATTGGCTGACCACCCCCCTGTATCTGCATGAAATGGTTTGGTCCTGCCTTAGCGCACTGACGATGATGGTGCCTAGTAGCAGTCAGCAGTTGCGCTAGATCGCTACAGTCATCATCATGCTACCTAGTAATAAAAGAAAATCCGGTTTTCAAAAAAGAAAATAGAGAAAGGAGAGAGAGGAAAGGCAAAAGAAAGGGAGTCAACCAAGTTTGTGACCCAGTTTTTCTCCAAGAAAGGTGGGTAGCCTATAGGGTAAACATCCCTATTAAGCCCACGTACCATATAAGCCCACTTGTGACTTCTGAGTCAAAGAAACAAAAACAAAACTACATCACCAATTTTGCTGTGTCATGGTTCTTCCAATGAAGCTGCTTGTTACATAAATTATACTTTTTATTGTAAGCCAATCAGATTTGTGGATATTGAGTTATCAAAGCACATGTGACATGTGCCTGCTGCTCCCAGAAGAAGTTACAAAAAAACTTTTGGTGCCCTCAGAAAACAGCATTTTTTCCATATTTCTACTCTTTCTTCTCATTTTTTATCAAAATTTAAGAGATTAGTGCTTTGAATAAAACATATGTTAGAATATTACTCAAATTACAAATATTTTTGTATGCAGAATATATTATTATACTGTTAAATAGATAATAAATGTGTATATTTATTCATATTTATTTTTTAATTAACATTTTTACCAAGTGGACTTAAAGGGTACACTAGCAAAAAAATCACACTGTTCAGGGTGGATGTAAATGAGTATAGCTAATTACTTCAGCGCGTGATCAATTGATACTTTCCATGTTATGTTAGTGCAGCATATATAGATTCATTTCATATAGTTGTTTTGTTAATGTCATGTATGTAGAATAAAATATTCTGAATTTTAACCAGAAATTCACTTATGTTCCCTTTAAGCCCACCTGCTCCTATTAAGCCCACTTGACAGTTTCAATGGAGATTTTCTCCCTTTTGACTTTTGAACCATTTTCCTGCCTAACTTTGACCTCACCTAATCAATCAGCTCCATAATTCAGATACTTAAATATCATTATATCATCATTTATTCTCCTTGAAATATTAGTATTGAACCTGGTAACTGTTTTTCTTTTAGTCATTAGGTCTTCAGAAATCTTGATAAAAACATCTCCACTTTCAACCAGCTGGCTGGATAAGAAATTTTGGCCAATTCTAAATGCCAACAGTACAAGGTATGATAGAGATACAGACAAAATGACAACACATATTGAAAGATGAAGTATTGAAGATTAATTTCCATTATAATTTTGATTTTGTTCATGAATAGTTTTTTGGTACATTCCAAAATGTTTCGCTTTTTCTGTGTTGACAACACAGCAAAAGGACTGATCATGTCTATTTCAAATGACATTTACAGGTCAGAGGATAGGAGTGGAGAGAAAATGAAAATAGCTATTGAGAGCTAAGAGATTACAGATTTTAATAGAACAAGTTTGGATTCTTAAGATTTTTGAATATATATATTGATCAACAAATCATGAAGTGGGCTTATTTGGAACACCCATGGGCTTAAAGTGTACATTAAGTACCCATTAAGCCCATGCCAGACTTTTGACATATTTTGACAAATTAAACAATAAAAGCATTAAAAATTGGCATAAATGAATTATTGACACTTCAAATGATTTTTTATGTTAGTTTGTTTGTTTTAACTAAAATTTTCTCACTGAAATTGGGGCGGTATATATTAAAAATGTCTGAAAAGCAGATTTGGTGGGCTTAATAGGGACGTTTACCCTAGTCTGTGAGTGGTAGAAATGAACCTGTTAGCTTAATGTCCATAGTGAAATAAACTAGCTACAGGCGACGTAGCCTACATTTCACTCCTTTTTAACCTACATTTAATCCATCCATCCATCCATCCATTTTCTAACCGCTTATCCTCTTAAGGGTCGCGGGGGGGCCGGAGCCTATCCCAGCTGACATTGGGCGAGAGGCGGGGTACACTCTGGACAGGTCACCAGACAATCGCAGGGCAGACATGTAGAGACAGACAACCATTCACACTCACATTCACACCTATGGACAATTTAGAGTCACCAATTACCCTAATCCCCAATCTGCACGTCTTTGGACTGTTGGAGGAAGCCGGGGTACCCGGAAAAAACCCATGCTGACACGGGGAGAACATCCAATCCAGAATTGAATTTAAAATCCTACTGTTAACTTATAAAGCTCTAAATGGTCAGGCTCCGTCATATCTTAGTGAGCTCATAGTGCCATATTATCCCACCAGAACACTGCGCTCTGAGAACGCAGGGTTACTCGTGGTCCCTAAAGTCTCCAAAATTAGATCAGGAGCCAGAGCCTTCAGCTATCAGGCTCCTCTCCTGTGGAATCATCTTCCTGTTACGGTCCGGGAGGCAGACACCGTCTCCACATTTAAGACTAGACTTAAGACTTTCCTCTTTGATAAAGCTTATAGTTAGGGCTGGCTCAGGCTTGCCCTGTACC